CAAATTTAGAGAGAGAGAATGCAACATTAAAGGCTACAATAGAAGCGATGGAAACAAGATTAGCTGCCTTAGAAAATAATGGAAATCAAGGTAGTGTAAGTGCATATGATACAAAAGAAGAATTATCAGAATACAGAAAACTTAATGACATTTCATACCATAATCATCAAGAACTCTCAATAACAAATAAAGAAGTGCTATTGGATGATGGTGATGAACAAAGAAGGTTTACAACATCTCATATACCATATCACGAGGGAACTCATTTGATTGGAAAATATACTGATCCAGATAGTGTTGAACATTCATTTGATATAATATTTGAGACTATAGATGAGATTTCAGAGACACAATATTGGAATTGTGTTTTATTCCTCAAGCAAGATGAAATCAGTGAAGGATTATATACTGAATGGGATGTAATGACTGGAGCAATTTTCATTTATGATGATTATTATGGTTATTATATTGGTTGTGAAATATCTTCTGCAATAATTGATGAAGACACAGAATTATCTACAAGCAATGATTTGACCAACTACTATACCAAAGATGAGCTCAAAAGATTTGGATTAAATGATGGCTATCAAATAATACCATCTGTATTTGAATTATCAATGGAAAACTTAAATAATATTAGATTTAAGTATGCTGGATCAAATGTAGCTGCTGTGTGGAATAGGCTTCATATATTTGTATTCAAAGATATCGTTGGTAAGAATCATTTCATTAAATTTGATTTTATTCACAAACTAATTACTTTGGATAACAGTGTTAGTTCAACATATGAAATCCCAATTGACAATTCTTGTACCAATGCAATAAATATTACCTTGCGGACAAATGATTTTGTTACAACACATGAATTGATTAGCAAATATGAAATATTCACCACTCAACAAGTTAGTTATCAGTTAGCCAATCAAAAATATTAAATAATGTATGTGGTTAGAGTATGTGGTTAGAGTATGTGGTTAGAGTATGTGGTTAGAGTATGTGGTTAGAGTATGTGGTTAGAGTATGTGGTTAGAGTATGTGGTTAGAGTATGTGGTTAGAGTATGTGGTTAGTGTATGTGGTTAGAGTATGTGGTTAGAGTATAAGTTTAGCCAAAAATATTTTTGAATAGATTCATTAGGTGTTGGTGTTAGGGGTTGGGGATTTATGTAAAAATAATATGTGAGTTATTAAGAGTTTCATTTCAAAACAATTTTTTTTCTTTGGTATGAATGGTGTTCAGGGTCTCTGAACGTTTAAATGTTAAGTTGTCTAGGTGATTATCAAACTTATCACCGTTCTTGTGATAGATGGGTTTGGTTTCTGAATAGCCTGGAAGGAATTGTTTGGCTATCAATCGGTGCATCTTAACATGTTTTCTATTATTTATAGTCACCAACATTCCATCTTTTTCGGAATATATTCCTTTAAATACAATATTAGTTTCTTTATGTTTCAGATGGAATGGATAAGTTGTCATTATCTCATATTGGTCTTCAAAGTCTTTTAGTGGAACGAACTGAGCCATTTAGTAGTGAAGAAAAAATATATTTCAGGATTAAGAGTAAAGGTTGGCAAAGGTTCGTTAAGAACAAGCGGGGCGTGAGCGTCAGCGAGCGCACGGCTTGTGGAAGTAATAATAGTAGTATGACTGAGCTTGCTCAGAAGGTTGGGTGAATGGGGTTTCCCCATTCACACAGCCTGCGCATACTACTTAGTGGCCATTTTCTTAAATAAAGGTCCAGAGTCGGCTATGAAAACAAAGAATCAAATTGTTAATCGATTCTTGTAGAAAAGCTTCCCAAATTTGTTGAACTTTTTCAAATACCTCTTTTTATGAATGTATTTTGGTCATCTTGAGAATTATTTTGATTGTTCCTCATTGATGCTCAATGATATTTAGGTCTGAGGAGTTTGATGTCCAGTATTTTAAAAATAATAATCTCTTTTTATATATATAGCGTACTGAGGAAACTAGAATGCATAGAAGCTCCATCTTGCATAAAGATATACTCTCCTTGACTATGAAAGAGATTTTAATCTTCAACAAACTGACTCTCTAGAATTAAATTCTCATTTTCGACATCAATTATGGTTTTTCCACATCAAAGTTTGCTCTTGTAAAAAAAAAAAACAACAATTACAGCAAAAAACGATATATCATATTGGAATTTGGATTTTTGGTAAAACACATTTTCAGTTATTTCACTTTTTTGATACAATCAATAATTTCGTCAACACAAAAATGATTTTCATCTTAAAAAACAATTTGCGAGATTTTGGAAATGGAAATGTAATAAATTGAAAATTAGATAATTTTTCAATTCTTGTTTGATTTTGGGCCGTTTGCAATGGAATTCGAGTTTTTTGCGGCATTGTTTTTTCCTTTGATCGTTATCGAATAGCATATACTAGCATAATTATTTGATTGATATTGTGGGTTGTTATCAATAAAAGTGATTAATGCTCTCTTTTTTTCTATTAAAGTATTAATATTGTCATTAAAAAGAATAATATCTTCAAATAATCTTTTTTGATATGTAGTTAATGAATAAATCAACTTTCTACAATATTCATCATAAATAATTGGTCTTGTAAATAAATTTAGATCTTGTTCTGACATGTTTAGTTCATTTAAAACAGTCATAATAAGATATTAAACTTCAACCATGATGACGATAACAAAACACACAAAGCTTGATTAAGACATAAAAAAATGAGATCAGAGAATCTCTCGATCTTGGAGATGCATAACATGAACTACTAAGAAATGTAAATAGTTATTTTGAAGATCATACAAGAAAAATAAGAAATAATTCAAAGATACTTCAAATTATTTACCCAAATGATATTTAAAATTTTTACTTTAAAGATTAAAATGATAAAGAAAGGCTTTGAAAAAAGACAACAGGCCACTTGATAAATTTACTCAAAAGCTGCAAGCATTCAGAAGACATAAAAAAGATAAGAGATAGACCTAAAAAAGGAAAAAAAAAAAAAAAGAAAAATTGGAAGTGGGAATAAGAAGAAAGAGAACCAGGAAAAAAAAAGCTAATAGTCTTTTAGATCTCACAATTCCTCTTGTGATGCAGACTTATCATACACAGCCCTAGCAAAACGAATCAATTAATTCATCAATCTAGTAATGAATGGTAGACCATTAGAGGACAATGTAAGAATAGTCAGATTCTTAAAAAAGCAATGGTTATCTAAAAAAAAAATGTAGAAATTATAAATAAATTAAAAGAAAACAGGAGGCGAATCGTTTGGTACAAAATGATGCAGTTTCGAAAAAATTTGAACATCATAATATGAACCATTTTTCAAATCATTACAAAGGTCAATGTAATTAACCTCATGATACACGCAAATGTGCTTGAATGATTCTTTTTTAAAAACGTTCTGATATGTACTCCTTTAATATACTAATATCTGGTCTTGAAAGGAATGGTTCGTTTCCATAGGTTTGCCCTTTTTGCCAATGTAACGCAAGAGCTGATCTTTTAATACATGTCTTTATTGCTGCAGGTGATATGAATTCATCTTAGGTATCTTTATGGGCCCATTGCACGCCCCGTGCCCGTTTCCCATCCCTATATAGTTTTTTGCATATTGAGAAAAAATGCTTTCATGTTGAGATAAATTTATTACTTCACTTTTAATATGAGTCCAATTGACGATAGTCTTCTAACTTATTCCCAAATAATGACTAATCAAAGAAATGCTGAAATGGAAACATTGAATAGAATGCCTCAGTTCTTGGTTAATTGTATAGACGAAAATGAAGCTGATGAATCTGAAATAAATGGTGCAAATGAAAGAGTGAATCAGATTCTTAAAAACAGGTCAGTTTGCCTAGCATTAACAGGTTTTTACCAGAAAATATCGAAAAACTCGTGAGCACTTCAGAGAGTAGATTCAGGTTTCCAGGTAGAGGAAGAAGAATCATAATGAAGCCCGTTGACTTGATAGTGATTTTGCTCAATTACTTAAGATGTTACCCGAGGTTTGAGCGTGGGGCTTTTACTTTCAATTTAAAGATCTCTACATATGAAAAGTATGTTAAAACATCTTTCGTAGCAGTAAAAGACTTTTTCTATCAGAGATTTGTTACGAATCCAGCAGAGCATTTAGACCTTCCAATTTCTGAGACTTATCCAGATGCGCCTTATGGCGTGGACGCGACTGTTCAAAAAATCTACACTCCAATTGTCCAGTTTGTGATGGCAAAACAATTTTTTTCAGGGAAACACTATCGCTATTGTATCAAAAGCCAAATGATTTGCGATTCGTTTGGAAGTGCATTGCATGTAGCATCTGGATATGTAGGTTCAATGCATGACATGCAGATTTTCAGGCAAAATATTCAGTCTTTTCAGGATGAAATTGTTTCTACACATCCCGATGCTGGAACCAAAATCCTCACCGATAAAGGCTATATCTCAAATGAATTTAGTAGTCTATTGACCACGCCAGTCAAAGGTTTACCATATGATTTAAGTCCAGAAGAAAATGAGCATAATCAGAAATTAGCCAGTGCACGAGTAGTGGTTGAAAGGTTTTTTGGAAAGCTGAAAATCAAATTTTACATTATGAAAAACGACTTTCGTGGAGACCGAGACGAATACTCAAATTATTTTAAGTTGTGTATCGCATTGACCAAAATTGAAATTCGTCAGTGTGGTAATCCTCTATCACAAGATGACTCAAACTTTTATGAAAGATGGATTGCTAATCTGATCTACATTGAAAAGCAAAATTACGAAGATGAATGTACAAAATGCAGAGAAAATCGGCTTGCAAGAGTAGTAAAAAAAAAAAAAAAAAAATCATTCCAAAATGAAGTTATAACTTCATATGTAGCAGGAAAATAACTTTTTATCTATTGTTCATATTCATTTCAATAAATTCTTTTTGAATATGTTTTTATCAGAAGTAAGTTATATTAAAAAAATTCATGATTTTTTAATTATCTAGTATTTATAATTCATCCATTAAACAGGTGGTCCCGTAGTGTAACGGTATCACATGGGACTCTGAATCCCGTGACCCAGGTTCGACTCCTGGCGGGACCAAATGTTTTTTTTTTGTAAAGATATACAATTAAATTACGTTACTAATTTTTATTTCCATAAATTGAGATCTTGCTCCGTTAAACCAACCAAACGTAAAGAAAGATTAAATTATAATTCATTTTTTGAAACACCAACAATTTCAAATTGCGTTTTGCCAAATTCGAAAGAATCAACTGAAATATCAATTAAAAATTCGGCTTCATCCATTAAAAAACCATCTAATTTTTTGACATGCTCAGAAATCAATGATCTTATAGATTCATTGGTTTCAAAGAAAAATTCTAAGACCTCTACATCTTCGAATAAACAGACCCCAAAGACTTCTGGTTTTGAAGTTAATTTTAAGCAAGTAACTCCAATGACAAAGACAATGATTGAACGAAGAAAACGACTTAAATCTCAAACCGATGCTTCTACTTCCATCGATTTATTTAGTTCAATTAATCAAAATGAAGTTAATGAAATGCCACAAGATTCCAAATCATATATAAATTCGTATTCAAGGACATTGATCGATGAAACTTTAGAAAGAAAAATTAAAGAAATATTTGGAGATTCAATCGAATTCACCAAGCAAGAATTAGAAAATATTTTTCACCAATTAGGAATTCTTGAAAAGGGCGACAAAATTAATAATAGATCGGTATTTCGTGAAACATTGCTCGAGTGGGAAGTTGATGATAACTTATATGACGCAGCTTCTGCTCAAAATGAAATTTTATTAGCAATAAATGGAGATACTAAAACTGATTTCAGAAGAATTGTTCGAAATAGAATCAACACAAATTTAGTCAATAAGAAAAATCCGAAAATTCCATATGTCCAAAAAGATATGTACCAAGGATCACATTTCATAACTACAGATGTACTAGATAGAATTACCCAACCAAAGCCACCTCCTCCAACAGAAGAACCTATTGAACAAATAGAATATTCAAAAAATTCAAGAAAAGTTTTAAATAAATCAATCTACAGCAAGGAAAATTTTTTAAGAAGAGTTAATTCTTTGGATGAGAGAAAAAAGGAGAGAAAACAAAAAATCATTAATGATATTGAAGAAGAAATTGAAAAAAAGAAAGAAAAAGAAAAGATAATTCCAATTGTTAGCTATTCTCCAGAAAAGTTGAAATCAAGATTATACTTTTTTAAAAATAATACTGACTCAGATAATTCAGATGAGGAGGAAAAAAGAAAACCTCGGTACATAATTCCTTATGAAGAATATTGTGAATATAGAGATTTAATTAATAAAAAGCACAAACGGGAAAAAAAACCTTCAGGATGGGAATCTCATTTTCAAAGAATGCAAGATGGTAGAATTCAAAAAATTATAAAGAAAAAAGAGGAAGAAAAATACTCTCGCATTGATATTCCTGTTGTTAAAGTTCCAAAATATACACCAAAAGAACTGCCAAATGAAGTCTATCTCATTCATAATAATCCTCCTCAGAAAAAAATTGAAGATTTAAAGCCAATTGATAAAAAGAAATTCAGAGGTGGTTCTGTTTCCCCTAGAAAAAAGCACAGGAAGAGAGATGATGAGAACAATATCACCCATTTTAAAAAATAAAAATGTTTGTTTATTTCATTTGTACGTTTTTTTTTTTAATATCATAATAGTTAACAACATTTTGCCATATTTTGCTAACTTATTAAAAAAAAATTTAGATAAATAAACTCCAAATTAGATCAAAATCTTAATATAAAATTATTCTGATTAATCTTCTGTCTAGTTGTTTTTTTTATACTTAAATTCAATCATTTTTTTGTATATCATTAATTTTTAAAAACAAAACATAATTTGATTTTTTTTTTTTTTTTTTAAATCAAAAAATAATGTTAATAATGATGACCTAATCAAAAGAACTCTTTTTAAAGTAAAAACAAGATATATTCTGAAAACTTTTTCTCTTCATAATATTTATTATCATTATTTAATACAAACTTAGTTTTGAATGATGTAATCAACATCATTAATAAATAAACAAGCAAAAAAATAAAATCTTTTTTATTAATAAATAAAAAAAACTAAATTTTAGATTTCTTCATTATGCTCATCGCCATCGTCATCTTTTTTATCGTCATTTTGTTCAGTGCTATTTTCTTTGGTATCATTATCATTTCCCTCGCCAGATGAAGATTCAACCATTGACATTGAAGCTTCATCACTAATTGAATCTTCTTTGCCACTCAAATCATCCAAATTATCTTCGATTGTTGCGGTGACTCTAGAATTATCAGTTTCATCGTTTTCTCCTTTCTTATTCCTAATAATGATTATGTTGCTGCTTCGATCATTATCATCTTCTTCTTCATCGAAGTTTGGCCGTTCTTTCTTAACTTTCCTGTATTTGATGATGCAGTAAGCCAGAGAGAAAGAAAGAGCAACGGCAGCAATAACAGCATTACAATAAGAAAGAATATTAAAGAATTCAAGCCAACTTAAATTTTTAGAACCGAAATTTTTCACAAGCATAATAACAACGCAAGATAAATTACCAAACGCTTGACAAAGATAACTAATGAATCCAGTATTTGCTTTGTAATGATAAGCTGCAATGAAAGCATCGAAAATGATTGAATTGAAAGGAACATAACCGAAATACAAACCAATTCCAGCAACAATCATATAATACAGGCCTTCAACAGCTCCACACGTTTCTAAATATGCAAATAAAGCAATGATCGCTTGACCAGCAATAATTAAAACATGATATGAAATTAACGTTTTAAGTTGACTTTTGATAAACATGAATGAAAACACAGGAATACAGACAACAAAAGCAACAATAATTTCAGATACAGAAAAGATCGATGGCGCTTCACCATATCCAAAAGCTTGCCATAATTCAGGCGCAAAGTTATCACGGAAGTCTCGATAGGCGGTTAGAAACATAAAGAATATAATCATCGCTGTTAATCCTGGCGCGAAAAATTTGCAAAATTTGACTCGATCATGATGATCCATAATGACTCTTTCTGTTCGACAGGCAATGTCTTCTTCATCCGGCGGTGGCAAGGACTCAAGGATAACTACAGCTAGAATCATTGGTATGTAAAAAATGGCACCAACTGTGGCCGGCATCCAAAATTGATTGAGTCCAACTTTGATCAAATCTGCACCAATTGATTTAATGACTCCTGAGGAAACAATGAATGAAATGGCCATGCCACTTCCGAGTAATTCGGAAGTTTTACGTCCTTCAAGATAGGAAAAAGCTACGCCCCAGACCATTCCAAGTGGAAGTCCTACAAGAAACATGCAAAATACATTATATGGGGCGGGAATGGCACCAAAGAGAATTAATGCAACTTCGGATGAAGTCATAAAAAGTATAAGATATATTCCACGGCGTTTCGGCGTCATTTCACTAATAACTTTGATTCCGAGAAATTTTGATATTGTATATCCAATAATTTGTAAAGTGAGTCCTAAAATTTTGAATTGGACTCCAAATAATGAATATCCGGCGTAGGTGGCAGCTGAAAAAGGTTTTCGGTATGCATACATACAAAAATAGGTTAAAAATCCTGCAATTAAGGCTATAATATTTAAAACTATTTTGTTTTTTTCGCATATACGAGTAATAAAATTATTTAAATTTCCCATTTTTTTGAAGAACGAGTGTTAAAATTAAAATTTTAATTTTGAATTAGAAAACAAAGACCAGAGCTCAAAATTCAATGATTATTTCGAAAATTCAGAAAAAAAAATATTTATTGAATAGATAAATAATCGTTATTTTCAAAATTGTGAAGATAGAAGAATATGAATTCAAATATTTGAATTGAACTTTTTCTAATAAAATATAAACTTATGAAAAAGATGATCCTTGTATCATAAACCATTCAATCTATAATAATTTTACGATAATAACTTTCAAATAATAATTTATTTTTTTTCTTGGAATTAAATTAGTAACATTAAAATATTTTTAATTTATTCTTTTTAGTTTTCAATATTTACAATTAAAATGAATATAAGCTCGGAAGAAATGCATATTTCAACAATCCAAAAAAATATTTTGATAGAACATCATATGATTTCTATTAAAAATTATAATATAATTGAAAAAATATGACGCAAAATTCTTTTTATTATAACACAATCTTTTTCAAAATGCTTTCTTATTAAATATTAAATATATTTTAGTTCATTAGTTCATTCTCTTTCTTGTAAAAACTTTTGATGAATGGAATATTTATAACTTTTTCATAAATAGTTGGGAAATATTCAGTGAACAATTCTCTTCCACCATCATCCCATTCACCAATAACTGTGCTTGCTGCTGAAAATGCTGCATTTAAAGCAACATCCTTCGCAATTTTACAATAACCATCATTGTGGACTACTACATCAATAATGAGAGTTGAAAGTGCTGTTGAGATAGCGTTGATGACGAGTTTTTTCTTGATATCATCGTTTTTGTTGAAAATTTCTTGAAGAATAGCTCTTGATGCATTAAAAACCACAGAATTAATAGCATTTTCAATGATAGAAACTTTAGCATCTTTGATGATATTTTCTTTGAATTTTTCATCCGTAATGTTACCTTTGACTTTGAAGGCATTCACAGCAACAGATATACCAATACCTGTAATAGAACCTTTTACAAAAGAAAATGCGGCATCACGAGTGGTTGCTAATATTTTATCTGACATTCCAAAAAATGAAATCATTAAAAATAAAATTTTTACAATTTTAAAAACAAATTTTCTTATTAATAGAAAAATTGAGAAAAATATATGCAAAAAAATTTTGAAAATTTTGTAGAAAAAAGCTTTTCATTTTAACCAACTCCTTTTTATCGTTATATTTAATTGGTTTCCCATAAACTTCTGCATATTTGAATATGAATAAATAAGTTAATTTTTTTATAATACCAAATTGATGTGAAATCTTTGTATTATTCAGTAAAAAAATTCATTATCTCAATTTAAATTGAAACAAATATCTACTCAAGATAAGTACTCAAACTTGAAAAAAAAAAGTTCGAAAA